CCTCAATAATGCTATAGCGTGACAGGGTAATATTTGTGAAGTTTAAAATTGATTTTCTTTTGAATAAATGATCAAAATCCCATTACTGGGTAACATAATTCTACAAATGTCTGTTTTAACAGTAATTGCTGTTAATGTCCTCTTTTCATAAGTGTGAAATCATTGTAAATCCTCTTTGATACTGAAACATGAACACTTAATGGTACATTAGACAAGACATGAGACACTAAGCTTTCGGTTCATCTATGTAAAGCAGTGCATAAAAAGTGACCAAACAGAGCCAAAGATTCAAACATGTTTGACTAGGACAACACATATATTTCACAAATCTGGCATCTACAATATTATCATTATTAAATAATGTAGGTGTTACAACAGAAGGTATTACAACATTCTCCATACATCCCAGATAATGCTCCCTGGACTTTGTTGTGTTTTGACTTTGGACTGGCCCTAAAGAGAGGGATCCACATATCTCATATTTCAGAATATTTGTTGAAATTAAGAATGCTGTCAACAACTCACTAGAACTGCAAAAATGTGTACAAATAGTGGGCGGATAGATACCAGTGTATTTAAGTAGTGTATAAATGCAGAAGGATATTATTTTGAGTGTCTTCATTGATTTTTATCTCAAACAGGATTGCACTGTTGGATTAAGTTTTTCAGATTTTCAATATGAGTTATGACCAAGTGCCCCTACCATGGGGTAGGAAAAGTATACAAAAAGTTCTACTGATTAATCAATCTGAAAATTCTATGCTGTATAGGCAATTTCAAGTGATTACCTTTACTTTAGAAAGAGATACATCATTTTTATCAGCACTTCTTGATCAGCCTTTGTATATTGAGTTTATATTGTTTGAACGCATATTTTTACATGTTCTAAGTCTTGAACTGATAGGACCCATCATGTGTGACTTACCAAGGTATAGGACCTAAGTTCTGCTTTTGAACATCTGAGTTCAGATTTGGAAACCCACATCAGGATGTCGACAACCTCAAATTTTCATGCTAGCTTCGCTCACTTTTTATCACACCATCGGTGGGATATAGTCGTTATACTGGTTGTGGTCGTGATCGTGGTCGTGATCGTGATCGTCCCGCTTTTTGTCATCGCCGTTTAAGGAAAACTGCTCATCAGATTTTCTCCAAATTCGCAGAGATGATAGAGCATATGAAGTACTAGAGCTGAATAACTTTTTGGTGGCCATCTTGTTTTCTGGCGGCCATTTTGAAGGTTTTTCGAAAAATCTTGCCATCGCCATTTCAGGAAAATCGCTTATTGGATTTCCTTCAAATTTACACAAATGATAGAGGATATCAAGTACTAGAGCTGAGTAACTTTTGGGCGGCCATCTTGTTTTCTGGCAGCCATTTTGAAGATTTTTCGAAGAATCGAAAAATCTTGTCATCGCCATTTCAGGAAAACTGCTCATTGGATTTCCTTCAAATTTACATTGGCATTCGGCGGTTGATGGTTGGCAGTTGGCGATCAGTGTCTGAAACAAATTCTTACAACTTGCAATAACTTAACAAATACTGTTTAAACTGACTTCAGATTCATCTACAATTCTTCTGGAGTTCAAATTTGACTTTAGATTTAAGATTTGAACTACAATGACCCTCTCAAGGTCAAAAAAGGTTAAAAAAGGGTATTTTTTCAAATTGACTAATTTTTAATTCAAAATCATCAACAATGTTTTAAAAGTTCAAATCTGACGATAGATTTTAAATTTGACCTTCGCAAGGTAAAAAAAAGGTAAAAAAAGGTATTTTCAACTTCAAATTAACGATTTTTCTCACAAAATGGCTCAAGATGAAGCCTAAATCTTCTGATCAAGGGAAAAGCATGGTCATTTGTTAAAAAACTCACCCTCCTTTGTTTAGATTCGCCAAAGTGTAACAAAATAGAAAAGTTGTCCTAGCTTTTAAAAACCTCAATTATTGGAACCAATTTCACCTGTTGGCTATATGTATTTTAGTTATACACAAACAGAGCAGGTCAGTGCCATTCATAATAACCTTATTCAGTAAAATTCACAAGTTAAAGATAATATATTCAATCCAATGCCACATGTTACCATGGAAATGGCTCATCCCCGGGCATATGCAATTATGAATGAGACATTAAGATTTTCCCATATTGAAAGGAGGGCTCCTTATATAATAATAACCATTTCTATATAAAGTAAAAAGCCATCTACCTAATTAAATATCAGCTTGTACAGGAAGCTCTCATAGATTAGTAAAGAATGATAAGGTGGTTGTTTTGAGTTTCAGAATAATGTCATCTGGTTTTTTATTGCTTCTGGCTTTTAGTCAGGGTTGGAGGGGGGGGGGGGGGGGTGCAATCACTCCAAAAATTTCAGTCAGGGGGTATGACTGGGCATTGAAGCAACCCGGAAAAAATCTTTTTTTTAAGATTCGTTTTGAATGTACAAAAAATTGATACAACTTCCTTCAAAATTGAGCTAGAAGCTTCAAATAAAAGGTGTTTTAAAGTAAAGCTCTTTTCTTCTTCCATCCACTGGTTGTATTATTGGGGGGGGGGGGGGGGTGCGCCTATGCAGCAGGTGACCTTTTGTCTATTTTTGTATCACAGCTTATTTGACAAAATAGCAATACAGTCAGCACATCAGTTCATACAAAGTCATACAAAGAAATTGCATAGCCTCCTGGATGCGAGTAGAAATGATCTTGATTTACGTCATTAAAAATTCAGTCAAACTGATGTCATATTTGGAATCTACATGTAAAGTTACATCTAGAGAATGTGGTTTTGAAAAGAGTTTATCAACTTTGAAAATTTAATTTTCTTTGAAAATGTGACATCTAGGTCGGGGAGATTCTCCATAGACCCCATGTTGTAAAGTCACAAAAAGTGAAATATCTTTTTAATTTGAAAAGTAAACCACTAAGACTGATGAATATTCAAGTTAAAGGGAATTTTGTAATAACCTGCCATGTTATTTCCCCCGAATCAGCCACCTGGTGGCAAAACTGGTAACTACCTACTCGCATCTTGGTAATTAATTTTGATCTTTGTAAATGGTACATCAAAAGCCCGTTGAATGTTTGAATTGTTCAAGTAATTGTTATTTGTCAACTTATTCTTCTAATAATGTAACACTTCTCTGCTTAAAGATTCTCGCAATCTTTATCCAATCAGCGTTTGCGAGTGTGTCGGCTCACGTATAAAAGGGGAATCCAACTCAAATCCATGCAGGGGTGTATGAGGTACTCGAATAGGAAAGAGCTCGTGAAATCTGAATTTATATGCACATGGTCAATGTTTACACATGTTTGGAGTTATTGAAGAAAATGTGATATGGGTGTGGTTCCGAATTTGAAGTCATTGCTGGAAAATATGATTTTAATACGTGAAATTATATCTATAAATACAGCACTAAAAATAACAGTACACTTGAAGTACATGTATGATTGTGTCCAGAAATTTTGAGACCCTTACAGAAAATTCTGTCTGCATTTTGTCACCATTGCTCTTCCCGCATTCTAGTGCTGTTTGAATGAATATATTAATTAATGTATTTCTAACTAAAATATATCACATTTTTTTATAAACCACAAACATTTAGATCATAAAAAAATATTCAATACTTGAGTGAGCACGATATGCAAGGGCTACTAAGTTGACACAGTAAATGACCACTGATATTGTGTTAGCAAATATGTATTAGCAGAATACGCTGTGTGCATGGACTAACACCCCCCACTTTCATAGTGAAGTGACTAATTGGTTTATGTTTACGTTTTAATGTGTTTTGGGTTCCTCGTTACAGCAAAGGGGGCCAGTAAAGTAGACTAACATGTTTGCATGGCAAATTTTGATCGAATATGTGAGACACTTTAATGAGAATTCATTGAATAGCCCATTAAATAACAAATGCTAGTTTTCTTCACTACAATATGAGAAATTTCGCTAGGATGGATAAGAAAGCTTAATGAGGATCTCGGGAGCAGCATCAAAACACCAAATTTCCAAATTTTGCATTTTATACTGCAGTGTAGAAAAATAGCATGAAGGTTAAAATAAACTTAAAAATCAAATGTTCATATTAGAAAAAGTGTTTAACATATCATGATTTATAATTTACAATTTGTTGCATGTGTCTTATGTATGCTGTGTGATTCTATAAAGCCAAGAACTCCTTATTTAATCCATCAGGATAAATGATCATCGAGAGTACAATCAAGCCACCGGTTTCAGTACAATCAATTACAAGACAAATACAATAAAACCCCTATAGTACAATCACTTTAGAGCAATGCGGCCTTGAGCAGAATCAATATTTCTACAAGATTTCACTCATTCGTCCTAATCGAACCATTGAGCTGCCACGATGCAGTGATGCTGAATTAACAGTCTTGTAGGTTTTGATTCAAAAGTATCATCCTTCCCTATTGGGGAGGTCACAATACCATTAATGGTCCACCTCCTTTCTTAATACGACATCGTGAAAAGTATATATTTTTTGTTTTATGGTCACACTAAGAAGTTCATTCATATTGTCACAATATATCCTCACCTTTTTTCGTGTACTGGCATTTGACACTTTGGGTTTGGTGTATGTAACAAAGTGCTATACTTTTGTAGCCATTCGTAATTAACTTATATGGTGGTGACATTTAAATCCTTGTTTTGATTTATCATGATATGATAATAGAACTTGTAGCAGACAGTATTAATACAGTGAAGAAATCCCTGAGGTAATACATCAAAATTAATGTTCACTCAACCATCTATTCGGGTTGCGGGGGCTGCATAATGGTTATTTGTGAGTTTTGCTTGCTTGAGATATATTTTGTTTTATGATCAAGTGATCATTTAGTGGCCATGTCAATCAATCTTCATTTGGTTTGATGACAAAGGAACTCAAAAACAATTAACTTTGGATTTTGAAATGCTTTGATGTAGTGATATATTCTCTATGCGAGAAAATTGATGCCGTTTTAAGGGCGTAAGCATACAATATGGTAGACAAAAGCATATGTTCTCGGCTTTCTTTTTTTGGTCTATGTGTAGAAGACAATTTGTGTTGTTGAAAACAATGATTTAAAAGAAGTAGATGTGATTTAGAAATTTGAGGGTAAATTTTGAAATTTTTTTGACAATTTTACAACATTTTTTGTTATCATTTTTAAAGGTCCAGTAGTTCATACTTTATTTCAGAATAATCCTTAGAGTTGTAAAGTTATCTAACAATTTCCCCTTCTCCTTTCTTTAAGTTATTTTTTTCTCATGGGGTTTAATAAAATCAGTTCTGACTTGCAGTCACCAATAATGTGTTCTAGGCTATTAGCCTTACAAAAAAGTAATCATCGGATAACATAAATCTGACAGTTATTTATCTCTAGCACAAACAAGCCTAGATAGTTCAATCAGAACTTGGGGGTATTAGAAGGGGTATTTGCCTTATGCATTAAGCATTCATAAGATGAAGAATGACTTTTAAGTACTATAGATGTATCCCTCTCATTCCAAATTATGTGTGACCATGTCCATTGATATTGAGCTGCTTGTTAGTCTTCTTCTGAGAGTCACCAGTCTCATATGTTTCGGTGTGGTTTCCTCATCTGAGCACTTTAAACAAAAATAGCATTTTACGTCACGTAGTTTTAATTCATATTGTTTCCATATCTCCTGTGTGCGAAGACTGTAAACTATTGGGTCCAGTAACATGGTCATTACAGGGGCACATTCCAAAAATAATGTGTATTTAGTGATCTTCAGTTGAACTAATACAAAGTATAGGACTGAAGGCATCAACAGAAGGAATGACATTAGCGTCAGCATCAATGTTGTTATGCTTCCTCTGTAGGTATCTCTGATCTTTGCCATCCTTGCTAGTTTCTTCGTGCATTTTTTAGCTCTGCGCATTGCTGCCAGTACGCGTAACACTAACCCTATTGAAGTTAAGTAACAAATGATATGCAGCAAAGGCAACGCAAATGCCCGACAATATTTTCCAAATATTGAGTGTTTGGGGAATATCCTTAAAAGAGCACTAATCAATGGAATTGAAAACATTGAAATAATCCAGGTCATCAGTATGTAGTTATGAACACGTGAGCGTGTCAACAGAGAGGAGCCTTTGAGCGGATGACGTACTGCAATGTATCGTACTAAGGCTATTCCAACCAATGAGAGCACAGCAACAAAGTAAGATGTGGCCCAGGGTACATCGAGGACCCAGAATGTTATAATCCAAATAAATTCACTATGCTTTTTCATGACGAATCCATATATAATCTCACGAGTTAGACTGAATATAGATGTTACTATGTTTGCTCCAGCCAGATTCATAAATAGTTTGTTAGTGGCTTTAACAGCTCCTCTCATGTTACTTACCAGTATTATAGCTGTTATGTTGAGTGCTATTGTCATTATACAAAGTGGAAAGTGTATGATATAAAATATAGTTTTCTCTAAAGAAAATGATTTGGTGTCTCCTTCTTCAATGATAGCGCATTGGTTTCTGAGATTGACTGGAAAGGTGTATGGCAGGAAGGTTGCATTATCACCTCCTAAGATAGAGCAGTCCATCACTGCCATTGTTAATCGCCTCCTCTCTCAGATTGAAGTGTTATGTTATTCAAAAAATGTCATCTCCACTTCTACAAGAGATTGAGCACTTCTAAATCCCATATCTATATAGATTTTAAATGTTTCTGTGTTGTTTGAATGTTATGGATTATCTATGCTAGAGATAACCATTCATCAATTGACTCTTTATCCATATGCAGTCAGCTTAATCGTTACTACTGTAGAACTAGAATTAAGTGAATATCCTCTCAAAGTGACATGGTTTCGTTGTCCTGATTTACCTGGCCTGTTTTCTTTTCATTATATAAGTTGCCTACTTCAGGAACCTGAAGAAAATTGAATAACATTAGAGTAGGGTATTGCCTTTATAGCTGAAACTTAATAAACGGAATTGTAACTGTTCCGTCATTGGAGGATTCATTCCATTCATAAATATAATGATCTATATAATGATTGAAATAAAGAAAAAATATATATACAGGGTGTCCGGAAAGTAAAGATACCTGTTAAGAGATGAAATTGCTCCAGAATGTAGAAGGACACTAAAGCAATATATCCTGCAACGGTCATGACTTTTAGTTTTAAAATGAGAAAGTTATGGTCGTTATGGTAACGGGAGTCGAGGGTATGTGGAGCAACGTCACAAATGTTATTTACAAATCTCTTTCCTGCTCATAACATCTTGGCATTCTACCATCTATTCCTATATTACATCAAATTATGTACTACAACAGCATAAGGATTAGTACTGTAACATTATTTGATATCTTCATATAACTACTATCATTGAATATTTAATATTTTCCCCATTATCTAAACATTTTTGGTGCGTCTTGACCGCCGATTCAAAGACTTGACAAAATCATTGCTGTCCGTCTTTCAAATTGCTTATAGCATTGACTTCCAGCTGAGACTCATTTTGTATGTTGACCTTCTACAAATATTACTTTCAGATGGTCATTAGGTAGAAGTCAAAAAAGGCTCTATAGGTGAATATGGGGCATTGTATAGAAAGGTTTAATGTCTATACAATCCATTATAAGAATTGTTTTCTTTGCTTTGAGAATTGGTGTATTATGGAGATGCAATATTGCCTTTCCAACTAATCCAGAGACTGTTTTTTTCTCTTAACACTTGCCACGGTATGGTATTTCTTTGATTGTACTGGTTAGTGACAAAAAATAGTTCTGATGTGTAGCAATGACATCATTATATAAAAGGAAAAACTATGACAGTAATAATACAAACCAAACAAAGCAAAACATTGATAGAAAATACAACAAAAAACACTGTTTCAGATGGTTGTATTTTAGCAATTTTTTACATTTTAGCGATGTTCTGGAACTGCTCCGCATACCTATCACACCTGTAACCATAACAACCAATAACTTGAACACGTTAAAACTATATGTGATGAAAGTTGGTCGATATATTGTAATAATCTTCCTCTACAATCTGTAGCAGTTTCATTTCAAAAGACCCAAATCTCTTAAAATAAGAGCATTTGTACCTTTACTTTCCGGACACCCTGTATATGGAATGTGTCAATCATTTATATCAATTTGATATTGGAGATAAAGAGAAACATTATGGTGTTTAAGCTTGCATATAAAATTGAAATACCAACCTGTACGTATGACCAATTACCCATACAAATGCATCAGTTAAATATTTTACGTTCACATTTAGGTTGTGAAAAACATTGCAAGCTTAAACTCCCTAATGTCAGAATTCCAAATACTGGAAATGTAATTTAAATAGTTTTATTATGTGATATTGACTTATTGCTCACAACAGGATATGAAGTGTCAGATGTCATACACCCAGTCATTTGTAGCGGGCGATTCCTGTGTAATCACCTACTTGCACATGACCAGCCACATGACTTTATGTTACAGTGTAGGCGCAAGGTACAATGATCAGATTATTTTTTGGGTTATGCCAACAAATTGCTTTCAAAACATGTTCAAGCTCATTAACTTCAGACACTGATATGATTTATTTATGATGTTTTACGAGTTATATCCTACCAGATTGATCAATAAAATCAAAAATTGTGTGCTTACTGACATCGGTGTGCAAAGATTTAATTTATTTCAAATTTTGCCATGAATTCAATTTTTAATGCTTCTCAATAATCTTCAAATCATTGCTATGATTTCTATTAGAAATGGTTTGACTTCCCCAAATCAATTACAAATTAAATTAAATTATCAATTTAAATTTATTCTTTAGTCCTGGATTTTGATAATGGAGCTTAAATTGTAGGTAAAGCGGCATTAGAATTGTTTCTTTTCATAGTTAGGGTTTGTTTCCCTTATAAAGAGCCCAACATACACCAATGGGGCAAGTTGGGACCTCCATAGCCTTAACATCGCATGTGACCTTGTGGGTATTCATGGGATTTTGCCCCATGGAGTCCGTGAGACTCCATGGGATTCCGTCGGATTTTGCCCCTTAGAGTCCCATGTGGAATTCAATGGGGCAAGATGAAGCAAAATCCCTCGGAATTCCCACCTTGCCCCATAGAGATTCCATGTGCCATAGTGGGATTTTCGATCATATGACGTGTTTTATGAAACCCAACATACACCAATGGAGCACCACCATGGGACTCGATGGGGCATGATGGGATTCCACGGGCAAAGTCATCAAGGTTCCTTGGGACTATGTGGGATATGATGGTGCAAGTTGGGATTCGATGGGGCAAGATGGTACTCAATGGAGCAAGTGGGATTTTGCCCCATTGGTGTATACTTTGCTTAACTGGTGTACACTTAAATGTTTTTCTTTTTCCTGCTGGGCTCTGTAACAATTTTTGGTCCTTTCCCTTTGGCACTTGTTCTTATATATTGACATATATTTCAAAATTAAATAAAAATGTAATTTCATATATTTTCTTATTAGTTATACTGTATGCTTATATCTTCCCTATTTCACCCTTGGTATACGCAGCTAACGAAAATTGACCGGTACGGGTCAAAAGCTGGACCGGTACGGGTTAACGGTTTTATTTGAATTTAAAACAGCCATAACTTGCTCAATATTGACTTCCTCGTGTCTAATTTGAAATATATGATGCCTCCCGATGCTTATAAGTACCCCAATTTTTTACAGATTTTTAAACGGACCAAAACTCTCTAAATGCGCATTTATGCTCTTTTCTCTCGAGAACGACTGTCTCATTTTCACAATAACGTTTATTTAGTACTTCTAAAATATAGATTCTATTTTTCCCCATCAAGGTATGATGTAAATGACATGCTATTTACATCTTGTGAGTTTCAATGACGCGCGTTTGATTTTATAAAAAATGCCAAACTTTGTGACAAAGAATTTCATCCTGCTTGCAGCGAGAAGACGGACCGGTTCGGGGCAATCTGCTTGCAGCGAGAAGACGGACCGGTTCGGGGCAATAGCTGATGAATTCAATCATCAACTTTAAATTTTCAGTCATATTTGGGACAATTAATTGCATTTTGTTCAACGTTCTTTCCATCTACTAAGTTTCATTGGTCTATTCTAAATGATCACGATTTTATGGTCATTTTACATAACATGCTTCATTATAAATGCCAAATATCAAAATCACCCAATTTGGATCTACAAAATTTTATCTTTCGAGCTATTTCAAAGAAAATGAGTATACTAACTACCTTAGAACCATCAAAGGTTTGAAAGAAGAGATTAAAAGGAAAATGAGAGGCATTACACAAGATGTCTGTGAGTGTGTAGTTTCAACGGATGCCTCCAAAGTGGGACATGCATTTTTGAGTATGTTTCATAAAACGGCCATAAAATAGTAACCATTATCACGGGGGATAAGCAAAACGAGGGCGAAGCCACGGACTGCGACTCGCGTAACTTTACACCGCAGCCCAGCGCCAAAATGGAGGGACATCCGGCAGTGCCTTCTGCTTCTTCCGACAAAATAGAGAAATCCAGGAATCTTAAATGCTATCGTAGTGTCTAATCGGTGACCAAAATATTACTCTGTATCTACTGTTGGTCTGTAGATAAGAAAATAAGCAGTTGTCCAGATCAAGCTAAAACAGTAGCAAAGTTCTGATTTTACCTGTAAAATATGTGCATATTATTTAATTTACTATACACTTGAAAGGAGTTTTACCACGTTTCTGATATCTAAAGGTTAGTTGAGGCTCCGAGTATAATTCGTGAAAATGATTTGATAATAGAATGTGTTCATGAGGAGAAAATTAGATTCAAACTGCGCATTCATAGTGGACGCAGTCCAGTAAACAAAGCTATTTCAACAACGCAACACAGCCTCCATTGATATTCTAAGCAACGCAGTCCAGCCGCGAACACGAAATAAATAAGAAAGTGTAAACTATATTCCTACGCTATTATTGTTTCAGGAAAAGAAAGTCAGCATCCAGATTATCATTCAAAGTTACGTTGATTAACATATATCTATTACCTGAATCAATGTCCCAAATTGCTATATTGTATCGTTTAAGACCTAGAAATATGGCAATTCAATAGCGAATTTGGCAGAACAGTCGAGGGCAAGATGACAACGTAATATGTGTATTACAAACCAATTTGTGGATAGGGTTAAATATATAGATAATTGGATAGTGGTGAGACTCTTTATAAGAAGTAGAAATGCGAAACAATTAACTTTTTGATGATGCAATAAAAGCTGTTGGGGAAGGGTACATTAACTAGTATTTAAGATATCAGGAAAATATCAAATAATTGGAGAGTTGGTGAATTAATGTAATTTTGGATGATCTTTCAAACAGTCCATCAATATTGCTAGCTACCATAAATTCATGATTTCAGCTGTATTTGATATATATATATATTTGCAGAATGGATTGAGACACGATGTAGGTCTATTAAAATAGCCCTTTATATTCAATTTTGTCCAAAGTTGCTCCATTTCGGCCACACCTGTACACACATTGTGCTATCTACCTTTGGCTGTGATTGCGTTCAGCTTCAGATATAAAGCAACACTGAGTCGCGGACTGCGTTGGGCAGATGGATGGACTGCGACTATCAAAAATTCCAATTTTCTATGTAATTGTACGTTTTCCGCTTACCAAATATCACACGAAGATGTAATTGTAACAACAGAACATGAATAATTATATTAATTCGATGTCATTTCTGATTCCTTTGTTTAAATCGGTATATTAGGGACAAATATTGACAAAATTACATTTTTTGTGGCAGATTTCGAATTCAGTTGTGTTCATGCTAAACTATTGGACAGCCGAGCACCAAGAATGTCATTGCAGGTGGAGT